GCCCAAGGATACTTCGACATTCAGCCTGGAGGAGCCGGGGATTGAACCGACGTTCAGATTAACCTCCTGAGCCACAGCCGCCCCGACAGGGGTGCACACTAGCCGCCTGGCTGCAACATGCAGAGTGGGAGGAAGGGTAGGACCTGCAGAGGACAGCCAAGCAGTACACCTGGGCAGACACACACACACGGCCCAAGGGCCGTAACATAGAGGAGGTGACTGATGGTTTACCACTTTGGAACCGGTATCCGTAGCCACTCTTTGTGATGATCTGGCTAAGGGGGTTCAGGCTTATGCAGAACAGCAGTGAGGATAATGCATCACCGCCTTGGTATATGCCGCACTTGATAGTGACTTTTGCAATTGGCTTTAAGTTGGCTTCCAGACTTGTCTTTGTCTTGCCACTTTGATGTTGCACAGGTTGGATCGACTGGGGAAGTAGTGACACCCTTGACCATCACAACCTTTTTATCCGCTGATAAAAGGAGGAGATTTCCTCGGCAGGATAATGTCATGTTTCGTGTGGTTCCCTAGGGGCACAGCTACATAGGGAGTTCTCTCATTCTGAATTTCCAGCAACCCATCACCTATGTCTAGCTGCTGCAGCTGCACACAACTTTCCTCTTGTTCAAATAACACTAGGGGATCAGATGAGTCAAGTTGAGGTGGCATTCTACACTTCACCCAAGTTACACTACCTGCAGGGATTACTTTATCTTTATGTCCTATTCCCAAGCACCCCTGTGATGCAACAGTGTTTTTGGTCTGTACATAGTGTAATGGTATGTGCTGTGTCATCAGGGATGGCCATGGCTCCAACCAGCAGCTGGGTCAAGGTAGGGATTAGTCTCTCTGGTTTTCCCTGCATCACCACCTCCACTGGATTAAAACCTGTTAATGGCATTTCCAGGGGAAAAGGACTCACAAGGAAAGGTACATTGACTGATAAGTTGGGGTCTTCGTTTCCTGGCAAGTTTACAGTAATGATGACCCACCCCTCAAAGGGAATCAGCTCATTCACAGCATACACCTCCAGTTGGTTTTAACCCTCTATGAGCTCTATGAGCTCAGAAAGTGGCCGAATGTCAAGATCTGGTAGGTACTTGTCTTTCCAGGACATGTCCAATATGCTGACTTGGGCTCTGGTGTGTACAAGAGTATTAACTGCAAGACTATTAAGAATGCACTTAGTTAAAACCTTTCGGCCAATTAGCTTGCCGATTTGTCCATTACCGGAAGGTGGAGGGTCATGTGAGAGTACAACAGGGGTTTTCTTGCGATGTTGACATTAGCCGTTTCAGCGGTTGTGTTTTGCTCATTATGTCCACCAGAAGACCGACTGTCTTTAAAGGCGGCTTCTGTATCTGCGAGATGGGACTTTCGAGGGGCTCTGGTTACTGTTTGTCCCCCTGCAGCAACCCAGTTCACGTTTCCCTGGCGCTTAGGGTATTTTAGACAGCCTACAGCCCTGTGGCCCTCCTCACCGCAAGTGAAACAGTGTTTACAATCCTGCAAGTCTTTTTCCACACACTTTGTGCATCCATAGTGTCTCTCTTTCCTGGCTGTTTGGTGTTTGGCAGGAGAACGGTTAAACAAGTAGTCCCTGCACAGTCTCTGCAAGTGAGTCTACTAGCTTGGTTAGAGCATCAATTTTCTCACTGAGCTGCTGCACAGTGTGTGTTTTGGTTTTCTGCTTGACAATCTCTTTCTTTGTAGTTGGCTGCTTCACACTTTCTTGAGCTATGTGTGGAGCCTAACCTCCGCTGTCGCTCACTCTCATTGCTTGTTATTTTCATGACCTGTTTAGGATCGTCTCATCTGCAACTGTGTGGTCTGAAAGTAAGGGTTTCAGCTCCCTGCGAATGTCGTTGTGTTTGTGTCCTATTCCTTGATAAACTGTGTGCAGGAAGACACCCTGGACTGTTTCTGGGATATATTTCATTCTAGCTTTGGACTGCTTTGATGAGAACAGGATTCTTTGCTTCAGCCCAACAACACGATAAAGGAATGGTTGAGGAGTCTCGTGTTCATTTTGTTTTGCGCACATTAACTCTTGGAATAGTTCTGTACTATTTCTCTTTCCTAAGTGCAACTGCAGAAATCCCTTGAGCTCAGCTACAGTCATCTTCCTTATTGACCAGCATATCCTTCAAATCTCCTGGTTTTACCATCCTTAGCACACCCCTTACTATCTCAGAGTCAGTGAAGTTGTCTTTGACTCCCTCTTCGATCTGCCTACACACACTGTTGTAACTTATGTCAGATAAGTGGTCCCCAATTTGGCCTCCTTGGACTTTACTTGGGTGTTGGATGTAGGAGAGATCTCTGAGGGACACTGCCCATTCTGGTGTATGGTGGGGGTGGTGATGGCTCTTGAATGATGGCCTTTGGTGCGAGAGACCCAGGTTCACTTCCCCACTGTAACCAATCATCTACCAACGTGTCCCTGAGCGAGACACTTAACCCCTAGTTGCTCCAGAGGCGTGTGACCTCTGATATGTATGGCAATTGTAAGTCATTTTGGATAAAAGTTTCAGCTAAATGAATAAATGTAAATGGTGTGTGGCTTCTTCTGGCTGTGTGCTATGGTGGGGTAAGATACTGTTCAGTGGAAGAGGCTGTGTAAATGCGGGTTGTGCAACTACAATTTGTGTTGTAACCTGTGGTGCAGGCAGGTTCGCGAATTGGAGGAGCTTTTTACTCCTCATAGTCTTTTTACTCCTAATAGTCTAAAAGCATTTACTGAACATTAGCTTTGCTAAAAGTATTAGCACTGGCTGTGTTACTGGCTAGCTGGGTGTTGGCTAGAGCAGTAGTGACTACACCCACTGCATCAGTGGATGGTGCATTAGCTGCGACTGTATGGGCTACTTCAACAAGTGGAGAGGTTACATGTATTTTCATTGGCTCTGCATTTACACTTGACTCAACAGATAGCATAACCTCACCACGTGGCTGTACCATCTCATCAACAACATCTTTCAGGGCCAGCAATTCACCCCTATCCATGTCCTCCGAGTCTAAAAGGTCCTTACTGTGCATGAAGGTGTGGATGTATTCAAAGCAAACCTCTGCGTCTCCACTCAAAAGCTCTGACGGGTCTTTGCCTGGGACTGAGCCAACATTTTCAGCAACCTGGAAAAGTTCATTAGGCGACAGGGAAAGCAGGCTCTTCCTGATGGCCCACACCAGGCTCTTCCTCTCTCTGTCGGTCATGGTGAGGTCTTCTCCAGTCCTTTAACACGTCACTCAGCTCCAGTCTCAGCTATACTTCTGCTCTCAATGGTTCACAGCTCTCTTGAATCACCGCCACTGCTCACTTCCAGCTACAGGCACCAGACATTGCACCACCAGCTCAGGTTCCCAGGATCAGCTCCTCACCAGCCTGAAGAGCCGATCCCGGACGAGCCCCCAAGAACAGATTATGATTTTGTGTAGATAACAGGAAAATTATGAGACAATCAAGAGGTAGTGCATTTCTCTTCCTCGCTTCTGTCATACTTTAATACACATGTATATTTTAACTACATTCTTCACATCACATTTCTCCTTTTCTCCAATTTCAAGGTCACATCATGACAAACCAATATAACAAAATTCCAGTTTCTGTTAGAATGGTACTATTCCCCACATTCCACACTTCACTAGTCTTCATTTAGAAATAAAATAAAATACATTGTTCTCCAAATGTCTTTGGTCTGCTGCTCACAGCTATTATAACTGAATTAGCAGTTGCATAAAGGCTTCCAGCTACCCTGGCTGATAGGAATAATACATGAAAAACACAATGGCCTAAACCCACAGGTAAACGACATGAGTAGCAAGAGTTAGCATTTTACTATTAGATTTAAAGAAACAGTAAATATGCATTATAAACACCAAACATCTCAGAACACATTCTGCACAAAACTTCTTTTTGCAAGAGCCTAATCAACTGAATACAATAACACTCGAGAAAATCAAGTTCAATATACACGTTATACACAAGGTGAGCCAAGCTAGCTTAACATGCCAAGTAGCGTTAGCATTCCCGAAAACGTTATATTTACGACACTTAAAAACAACAAAGTAGAGGCTCCGAGAAACAGAGCACAATAAGGCAATTAAATATACATTAACCTTAAATATTTTTAACCCCCATGGATTTCTCTAACACTTGCTAACCTGTAGATAACTGGAAAATTATGAGACAGGCAACAGGTATCCTTGGGGTTTAGTGGAGCCTCGGTCAGCTTCTCTTTCTCACTTCTGTCGTACTGAAGACGAGCCACACCAAGCTGTCTCACTAGGGAGGTGAGGCCCTGCATCAAATTAACTAAATTAAGCTCTGCTACAACAATAAACGCATAGTAATTACAGACTTTTCAAAATAAAATCACATAATTTGACCATACATTCCTGTGTGTCACATCTTCCACAGCCCACAGAGTTCTTGATGAAAGCTATTAGTGTCCTGTTGAGCTTGTACATTTCCAAGCATTCCAGTATCCATGTATGTGGCATTGAGTCATAGGCTTTCTTGTAGTCAATCTTGTAGCCTGGTCTTGCAGTCTGGAGTGACTGCTCTATCCCTTCTGGGCCCTGTCCATGTACTGAGCCATGTGCCTACTCATCTTAGCTGCTATGATGCCTGACAGGAGCTTCCATGTTGTGCAGAGGCAGGTTATTGGCCGGTAGTTGGATGGGATTGTTCCCTTCTGGGGGTCCTTCATGATCAGGACTGTCCGTCCTTGGGTTAACCATTCTGGGTGGGTCCCATCCATCAGCAGTTGGTTCATTTGTGCTGCCAGGCGTTCATGGAGTGCAGTTAGTTTCTTCAGCCAGTAGGTGTGGATCATGTCAGGGCCTGCTGCTGTCCAGAAAGGTGCAAGTAAAGGGCTACCTAAGAAACATATATATGTATTGTGCAGGAGATGACACAGATGCAGTACGTGGGAGACGATGCCCAGAGCAAGAGAGGCATCCTGACCCTGAAGTACCCCATCGAGCATGGCATTGTCACCAACTGGGATGACATGGAGAAGGTGAAGATACTTACTTATACCTGAGTTTTAACACCTGGAGTTGAAACATCCAGTTCAACCAGAAAACAGCCTGAGAGCTGTGACTTCGATCTGTTTAAGTTTAGTAACAAATGATGATATATATATATATATATATATATATATATATATGTATTTAACGGAAATACTCAAGTCAAAGTACCTCAAAATTGTACTCATAATGTCCTTTAACCACCAAAAACGTCAAAATATTAAAAGCTGGAAAAAGCTTGACACCAACCACTTTTGTCCTGCATGTATTTTTATTTGCTTTAGCTTTATAGTTACTATGATTAGTCATTGAACTAACAGCTGTTCTGTACTGCAGATATGGCATCACACCTACAAAGAGCTCTGTGTTGCTCCTGAGGACTTTCCAGTCCTGCTGACCGACGCTCCACTAAACCCCAAGGATAACACGGAGAAGATGACACAGGTGTGTGTTTGTAACAACTTCTCAAAATCTATGGGTTTATTTTTGCCATTATCTCTCTTTGATCTGAAGAAAGAAAATCAAGGCACCAATGCATACTGCCCACGTGCAGCTTTAACTCCTTAAATTCTCTAGACTGAGACATTAATAGCTAATAACATTTTTTTCTAAATATATTCTTACTTGTAGGTCAGAATTCTAACTTGTAATACAGTTCCTGTATAAAAAGGGGGAGAAAAACAAGCTACAGGGTTTTTGTTGGGTCTTCAGATGTCATACCTTCCACAGTCATGTTTTACTGACAGGAACCAGGAAAACAGATCATATTTCTCCTGTTTTAGCTTCTCTGCATGGGCTTCCTATAAAATCCAAAGGAGAATTTAAAATCCTTCTTCTCACCTACAAAGCTCTTAATGGTCAGGTACCATCTGGCTTAAAGAGCTCACAGTTCCTTACTACCCCACCAGAGCACTGCGCTCCCAGAATGCAGGGTTACTTGTGGTTCCTAGTTTCCAAAAGTAGAAGGTGAGCCAGAGCATTCAGCTATCAAGCTCCTTTTCTTAATGCATCTAACTTACCTCCTTCCCTTTCTTGTTATCTTGTGTGTTATTGTTACCTTCTCCTTTTTCCTCCGATTGCCTTCTGCAGGTATTTCTGGAGTTGTGGAGTCTGGTTCCTGCTTGACACCCTTTGCTAACAACTGTTATTACTAATCCTACTTACTTATTATTATTATTATTATTATTGGGAATTGTTGGGTCTCTGTAAATAATTTTACAAAGAGTACGTTCTAGTCTTGCTCTATAAAAAAAAGCACTTGCAAAGCAATTGGTGTGAATTGGAGCTATATAAATAATTGAACTGGGTTGAATCTTCCTCTTTGGTCCAGACTATGTTCGAGAAATTCAAGTGTCCTGCCATGTATGTGGCCTCCCAGGCAGTCCTGTCACTGTACTACTCTGGTAGAACCACAGGTGAGAAGTCAAATACAACCATAAACATCTCTCTGAGCTGTAATGTCTTAAAATAATTGCATTTGTTACAAATTGGCTCCTTGCTTAAAAATGACATATATTTCCTAAACGGCTGTGTTTCCTTATTGCAGCATCTAGAGGCCATTAGAGGAACTGCAGCTTAGCAAATTTCAGTGACGGCCTTGATGTTGAACCATGATCAGAATAACTACAGAAAGTGTTTTTTCCTTTTTTTCATTGTGAGCTTTTTGTCTTGCAGGTATTGTGATAGGATCTGGTGACGGTGTCAGCTACACTGTGCCCATCTACGAGGGTTATGCTCTGCGTCACAACAGTCTCCGTCTGGACCTGGCTGGCAGAGATCTGGCTGACTGTCTTATAAAAAGTCTCACAGAGAGAGGCTACAGCTTCACCACCACTGGTATGATTTTGACCTAAAACAAATAGCATAGGCACGATTTATAATCTGGAGCTTCTAATTCCTTTTAAAACAAGTGTAACTTTGTGAGAGATAAACTCCTGAATGGCTGCAGGCTTTTCCACTTTCTGAATATTTAACTTTAGTGTCCTTTAACTTTCTAATTTCAGCTGAGCGTGAGATTGTGCGTGACATTAAGGAGAAGCTCTGCTACGTGGCTCTGGACTTCGAGAAGGAGATGCAGAAGCCATCTTCCACCCTGGAGAAGACTTATGTGCTTCCTGATGGACAGGTCATCACCATCGCCAACGAGAGGTTCAGCTGCCCCGAGACTCTCTTCCAATCTTCATTAGTCGGTGGGTAACAAGGCCAGTAATGCAGGCCGTATCACTAAAGCAAATTATTTAAACAGACACTGGCAAGTGCTTTTAATAGATCTTCTGTTCAGTAACTGTTGGCCATTAGACAGTTAGCATAAATATATTTGATGCTTCAGAGCCGTTTGTGGTCTTGTGTGCTAGAAAATTAAAATCACAGTTAACTTGAACACTAAATTACAGGGTTCCTACACAGTAGGAAAAGTATGGAATTTGATATCAGTCATGTCCAGGTCTGGATAAATGTGTGGAAAAAGAAAAATAGAATATAGAAACATATCTGTGTTTACAGAATGTTACCCCCACTTTGTTTTCAAATATATTAAAATTTAGAATTTAAAAAATAAAATAACTACAAATAACTAAATCTTAACATTTATGAGTTATGCAGCAATGTTTTTATCAGAAAAATAAACAGACACATCTGTTCTGCGTAAGTAAGTTCAATATAGCTGCCTGGGTGTTCGGTGTGCTTTGTCTTGTTTTGTTTTTGTGTGTTAATTCAGTTTTCGGCTATGATTCCCGGAGCTCTTTTACCAGAGAAGAGCTCATGAACATCAGGGGAACAACTCCAGCAGATTTATTTCCCACTTTTCTCGCATCATCAGTGGAATTATTGGATATTTTGGTGAAGGGCTCTCTCGCTGTTGTCCGATCGATGAAGCACCGCAGGAGAGGGAAAAGAGCCGGGTAGCTCATGCGTTTTCGCCGGCGGGGACTCCGCACATCGCTAGCGGAAATATTTTTCTCCAACGTGCGCTCACTGTGCAACAAAATGGACGACCTTCAGCTACTGGTGGGGAAAAACGTCATCTTCTGTTCTGTGCTTCACGGAGACGTGGCTGTGTGAACTGATACCGGACTCCGTGCTGCAGCAGGCTGGCTTCCAACTCTACAGAGCAGACCGGGACGCAGAGCTCTCCAGCAAAACAAAAGGGGGAGGTGTCTGTTTTTATATTATATATATGTACCGACGTGACGGTTTATAAAGTGTCCAACCAGAGAGGGGAACGCTTTGGGTCACTGCTACACCACAGTTAGCAGTGCCTATCACACCGTCACACGCGCCCCACTGGGACACTCTGATCACGTGGTGGTCCATCTGATTCCTGCATACAAGCAGAAATTAAAGCTCTTTAAAGGTCTTGTTTGCTTTTTTCTGGGTGTCCTCTCTCTCTTTGTCTCTCTCGCTCTACCTCCAGGTGCCGTGACACTATTCTCGCAACTGCAGCTTATTATCGCTAATTAGCTAAAGGTATATAAGGAGCCCTTGAGGTTGGAGAAGGTGGAGTGCGTCGTTTGTGCTGTGATCTGCAGAAGGAAGATCGTGTTGCCTTCTGAACCGTATTGTGTGAAGCAGTGTCGGGGAACCGGACAGTGAGGTGTGGTGGAAGCAAGGACCAGCTGCTGTGTCTGTGCCCGTGGGTGTCCGCCTCCGGCTTCAAGAACCAGGTCATACGGTCAAGACCCGGGTCCCTCACTGACCCCCCCTCCCCTTTTAAAATTATACAACTCTCTGCACATGTAAATATCATTGCATTTCATATCACGCACAAACCTGGCACACTGCACATATCTGTTGTTAATTGTTTAATCTTTGTTGTTGTATATTTTTATATTGTCAATTTTTATTTATGTACAAAATACTCTCTTCCATTGCAACACGTCTTTCCTCTGCAAATACTTGTATTGTTTTTCTCTATTCTCATTATTCTTCTATATTTTGCATTTGTTTATACCATATTTATATATTTATACATTTATTTATGCCAACTGGATGTTTGTCTATGTGTAGCACCTCATCACCAAAGCAAATTACTTGTATGTGTAAAAACACTACTTGGCAATAAAGCTCTTTCTGATTCTGAAACCACAACTTGAGCATTGGCAACGTTCACCATCGGTTCCATGGACACTGTAAATAAACAAGACTGCACAGAGGAGCTCAAATTTATTCTATATATTAAGGTAAAATAGTAGAGTACAGGTAGCACCAGTTAGTTTGCTTCCTCTATGGGCGGAGATGTTTGAAAGTGGAATGTCTTTCAACCTTCTGCATAGGACTGAGGAATGATCCCGCAGTGGTTTAGTGTTAATTCATTTGAATGAGCTGCAATAAGTCGTTAGAATTTTCTGCAGCATTCACTGTCAGAATGTAAAATACCTGTTAACAGTTGTATTTTAAATCCATTTCTTTACTAAATAAACATCTAGCTATTTGTTCTTAGATGTCAAACAATGTCTAAAAAATCTTCAGAGAAGTAGGAAATTGAAGTTAAAAAAACACCACTGAAATTAACTCTTGTTCCATCCGCAATTTTCAGGAATGGATGGAATGACTGGCATCCACGAGATGACCCACAACAGCCTCATGGAGTGCGTAGAGGACATCCATAAGGACCTGTACGCCAACACTGTGCTGTCCGGTGGCACCACATTCTGCCCTGGCTTCGCTGACCGCATGCAGAAGGAGATCACTGCTCTGGCCCCACTCAACATGGAAACCAGGGTACAGCTTTTTTAATTGCAGATCAGTGAAGTACTAACTGAATCAGACACTAATGAGCTAGTTTAACTTAAATGTCCTTCTATATGGATTTTTTTTATGACTAAAAGCGTGTCGGTTTCCTGATATAAAATCTAAATCATAATAACCCTGTCTAATATTATTGAATGGAATCTCCATTAGGGCTGCAGCTAAATATTATTTTAGTAACTGAGTATTGTACAGATTATTTTATCGATTCCTTGAGTAATCGGATAAGACTACGTTTGCTTGGTACCCCCCAGTGCCCCCCCCCCATTACGGTGGTGATTGAGGGGGTCTGACACCCCTAATTAAGGCTTGGACCCCCCCAAAAGAGGCAAAAACAACAGTCTTTCTTACCTGTAATTGTAAATATTGCAATATATTTCTCTTATTTATGCCTTACAGTCTAGAATCTTGAAATAAGATTTCAGACATCCCTAAAATGGACCATACCATTTCCTAACCTTTACATTAGCAGCTGCTCTTGTCCAGTCCACCATAAGCTGGTGGAGACACTGTAAGGGCGTACTCACACTAGGGCCGGTTGCTGTGTATTATGCCTGAGCACGATTGTCCTCCTTTCCTTCTCCCCCGCTGGCCTGTGCTCACATTGCGCCTAAATATCCGTGCCGGAGCACGTTTAGTATCAGTGCTGACCGCCTCTACCGTTCCTTTTAACTTTCCAGGTGATTTCTTTATTGTGTTGATGTGTGAATGTTTTCTTTAACGGTTTACTTTCATGATTAGAAAGGCTGCTGTCTGTCATTTAAACATTTCCATGGGCGCAGTAATGTCACAGCAAATATTGTGGGACATTTATGCTGCAAAACTAAAAACTGTAGTTATAAACTTGACGGGACAGACAGAGGAAACTCTGCAGAGGAAACAGAATTCTACTTTTAGGTTCCAAAACAATAAGCTCACTAAGTGAGCTCAGGATTGATCAGGAGGACAACTTTACTCCAAACAGCTTTACTCCAAACAGTTTCTCTGTATACCCTGGACTGTGTGTGAGACCTTTTGGATGTGGAGAAGATCATTTAACATTAAGTTATTCTGCTGTGCCTCATGCGTATATGCGTACAGCGTCTCTCTTAATGTGGAGATGGCTCTGCCCAGCAAATTGTTTCTCCCAATTTACTCTTTCTATTATTCCTTTTATTATTATACATACATTCATAATTACCGAGGTCCGGACCTTGGTGACCTCTTACGACCACTTTTTTGTTGAAGGAAAGTGCGTGCCCACACACAGTCTGTCATGCGCGCATTTCTACTGTACAGCACCTTTAAGCCGCTTGCTCCTTACCATAGCTTCCGGGTCATGAAAAAAACCCAATGCAAAATTGAGGAATAAGATTTATACACACGTATTTTAATTTCCAATTTCCATCTATAAACACATCAAAGAAAATTGGATAAGGGGATTGTTTTTTGTTTTCCATTTTTTATTTTATTTTATTTATTTTTAAACCTGTCCTGCCCAGCAGCCTGGTATAGAGTATGATGACCTGGATACCATATTGTGCCAGACAGATTTTACTTTAACAAGAGAGTATTAAAATACTCCTTTGTCTGTTTTATTATTTATTTAATTATGTATTGATTTGTCACCGGGCCGGACAGGGGGGCAGACACGGGGATGGGGGGGCACAAACAGACAGCACAGAGAAAGGACAACACCTGCAAGAGAAGGGGGATGGAAGGTGGGGACAACAGGGAAAAGCTGTGGGAAACACCAATTGCAGAAAGCAACGAAACCTGCAATAGAACAGAGAGGGGGGCTTGGGGAGGAGAAAAACAACAACAAACAAACAAACAAAAACAAAAACAAACAATAAAAATAATAATAATAGTAAAAGACACAGCCGAACAGCAGCAATAAACAGCTGACATAGTAACACAACTTAGGTGGAAAATGAAAACAAGAAGCAGTCACACACACTAAATAAGCAACAGCACAGCCACAAGAGCTGGAATAATAATTAAATTAAATAAGTAACTGAAAGAAAAGCATCAGGAATAGTTCTACCAGGGACAACCTAAATTTGTTTGTGTCTGTGTGCGTCTGTGTGTGTCTGTGTGGGTGTGGGTGAATGTGTCTGTATGTGTGTGTGTGTACATGTGTGTGTGCATAAGCCTGTTAAAGAATGTAGTTGTTAGTGAGAGTAGGATGCCACGACTGTGCCACACCTACCCCAGCAACAGGCAGGCAAGAACCCCAGTAGCCAATAGGGGTGGGAGAAAGAAAAAGAATAAATCAAATCAAAAAAAAAAACAAAGACTCCCAGATGCACCGCAATGCAAACGCAGAAGATCCCGACCCAAATGCCAGTTGACAACGTAATGCAGACGGAACGCAAAAGAGGAAGAGCAGCGCCCGGACCGACCGCGGCGCGGACACAACATAGACCAGTGCTCCCCCCCTACCCAGCACCCCACCGCCGCGCAGCGAACAACCAAAATGCCCAAATGCCACGCAATCATCAACACCAATGCACAAGTGACGAGCCCAACGCGCACACTTCGCGAGCACGGCGACACCCAATGCCCAGCAGCCCCCCGCGAATCCCACGTGCGAGGTCGGGCAAACAAGAGAGCGCAAACGGAACAACACGACAGCGAAAGCCAGTGGAGAGAAACACCAGCAGCAAGTCCCAGCCCGGCAGCAAACGCGCCGCACAGGTCACCGTGCACCCGCCAATAAAAGTCCGCCGTCCCCCCAACCGCCGGAAAAAACTAAGGCCGCCGGCGCCAGCCGACATCCCCCATGCCCAGCACGCCCCCCGGCCGCCGTGCAACACCAGCCAAACCAGCAACGAGGCAAAATCAACTAGCTCAGCTGCATGCCACCACCAACCCACCCGTCAAGGGCCGAGAACTCCAGGCACAAACCCAGAACAAACCGGAGCACAGCCCTGCCCCGCACCCACACTGCACATCCTGAAAATAACTATATACCCTCAGTATCCAGAGGTGTCCAACAACTGGCCGACAGAGAAATGGGGAAGCACGGATCCGAGGCCAACGAAGCAAAACAGGGAAGCAAAGGCCACAAGCCCGAGTCCCCAGAACCCTAGGTCAAGGGCGGGCCCCCACGCCAGGGAGATACATTTCCACATCAATAGAGTTTATTATTTCATTTTAAGTCTTCTGTGAGTCTTTTTACAACTAGCAGTTATATATTTTCACTCTGGAATTTAGAAGTTTTACCTGCCTAGATAAATGTTAAATGTAGGTTCCATGAGGGGGTGTAGGGGTGGAGAAGGTCCAGTAGTTACTGGGGGGCAGTGGCATGGAGAGATTTATAGGTGAGGAGGAGGATTTAGTGCGTTGTGTGACAGTAATAACTATCCGTGCTGCTGTATATTTATATAGATTAAACAAATCATCAATGCAAAGAATTTGCTTTTTAGTTTTCAAATTAATTGATTTTCTCGATGAATCGTTTCAGCCCTAATCTCCATAAAATTGTCCAAACTATCCAACTACAGAAACAGTAATTTAGGGCTTTTGTTGTTCATATTGATCATCACCTCTTTCTGTCTCACCTGTTTTCTTTCCTCACCTCCAGATCATCGCTCCCCCTGAGAGGAAGTACTCCGTCTGGATCGGCGGCTCCATCCTGGCCTCCCTCTCCACTTTCCAGCAGATGTGGATCAGCAAGCAGGAGTACGATGAGTCCGGCCCCTCCATCGTCCACCGCCAGTGTCTTTAGAAAGCCCCATGTCGTTGTCGTCCTCCTCCTCTGCCCCAGTGGGGACGTTAATATACTTTTCAACAGTTTCAACAACCTAGAAACGTGTCTAGTTTATCAGACATGAGATGCCACATACAAGATGAATCACAGTACAGCTCTGCATGAATTTCGCTCAGCAGTTTTAACAATCTTCTTTTATTTAAAAATCTCAATGCAATAAATTCCAGGTCAATATTCAGAACAGAAAATGTTTATTTCTTACCAGCATGACGGTATGATCTGCATGAAAGCAAATAATTGTGGCCTTCATAGGAGTTTCCACATCTACACTTTCATTTTGACCTAAACACTAAAGTCTCTTCAGTCTTCTGGCTGCTAGTTTATTTGTAAAATAAAATGATGTGCTCATTAGGGATGTCCGGACAGATACTACAATATCAATATTTTTGAAACCAACGTTTCCTGCTCTAGGACTAATTCTCACTTAAAAGGATCAAATTTAAACTGAGTCATTTGGAGTGAGTGTGTGTTTTATCAGAAGTATCTTACTATCAACAGGATGGTCTAATTATTGAATCTATGATTGTATACTGACTCTGGCTGACTGTAAAAGCAGTCAAGTCTGGCTGTATTTTAGCTGTGAAGGTAATAATGTTGCTCTGTGTGATGTGTGTGTAAAGACAGTGAAACACTTTGGCAATACTGTGAACTTCGCTAAACATCTGAGATTAAGTCAAAATAATATGATGTTATAAAGCGGCAGTTCTGAGCAGGATATTTTTATTATATTTAAAGAATGTGACAGGAGTTTGATGCCTTGTCATTATTGCTATTATTTGGAATTGGTAAGCCTACAGCCGACTCTTTATTTTCCACATAAATACAGAAACAGGAGGGGGGAGGTCACATTAAACTAGAAATAAAATGTGTAAAAAGTATTGGTATTGGTATCAGCAATACCAGCCTGTGTATTACTTGGTATTGGATCATTTAGGAATTAAGTGGTATCGCTAATGCTCATCTGGATCACTTTGTTATTTGTGCAAAGCTTCATTAGAAACAACTTCGCTAAACATCTGAGATTAAGTCAAAATAATATGATGTTATAAAGCAGCAGTTCTGAGCAGGATATTTTAATTAATTATTAATAATTCTAATTAAAGAATGTGACAGGAATTTGATGTCTTATTATGTAGCTATTATTTGGAATTGGTAAGGCTACAGCCGACTCTTTATTTTCCACACAAATACAGAAACAGGAGGGGGGAGGTCACATTAAACTAGTGTGTGAAAATGTGTAAAAGGTATTGCTATCGGTATCAGCAATACCAGCCTGGGGATTACTTGGTAGAGGATCGTATAGGAATTAAGTGGTGTCGATCCCCTTGGATGCCTCCATTTTCCTTCACCATGGTGTCAATCTTGGTTATCAGCTCACTGACTTGTGTGCGGTTTTCTTCATCACAGTTATCAAACACATGGTATCTTCCTCCACAGTCAGAGATCAGCTTCTTAAAGGAATCATCACAGTCCTTTTCAATGTATTCTTCAATGTACTTCTTCTCATATTCCAGTGTATCTCCTCCAGTTAAAAGAATGATCAAAACTTTCCTTGATGAGTTTTAATGTCTCCTTCTCCTCTGGTGTAAATCTGCCCATTTCTAACACCAACAGGAAGACATGTGGTCCTGGAGCCAGAAGACTGATGCATTTCACCATCTCCTCATGAACCTCTTCATGGGACAAACTATTGTCAAACAGACCAGGAGTGTCGACCACAACGACCGGACGACCGTCCACTGTACTCTGTGCTTTCTGACAAAGTTTGATTTTTGGAAAGGTTCAGCTTTAAACTCGTCTCTTCCTAGAATGCTGTTTCCCGTAGAGCTCTTTCCACTTCCAGTCTTCCCTATCAGCAAAATCCTGAGACTCTCTGGGCTCTGCTCCTCATCATCACCTGGGAAATAAGAAGTCCTGGAGTTACTAATCTTACAGTTTATGACTAATTTATACAGAAATCCAGGTAATTCCAAATGGTTCACATACTTTTTCCTACGACTGTAAAAAAAGTAAAGTAAACTTGGTGGGCCTGATGCAGCTAATAACATTAATATCTAGCAAGTACTGTTATCCATCATTTACTATGGGGGGGGGCTATGCTCTAATTTGTCAGTAGAGTAGATACTGGATCATCAGCCAGTGTGACTATTCAGCACTGGCAAATTGTTTACATGGCTCACAGGTAACCTAGCATTCATAAAATGGGTGTGTTTGATTGAGATTGGAGTGATCTCAAAAAGATATACTATTGAGATCTTAGTGTTTTCTCAAGAGTTAAAGAAAAGACTATTCTGGGCAAAAGATTTTTCCTCTGGAAACTGTATGCCCGTCACGGTTCCTTTCGGGTCTATTTCAAGTAGGCTACTATTTAAAACCAAATAATATTCTTTCTGTGGATCTTCAATGGTGAGAAATGACCTGAGCGTTCTGTGATGTGCGGACAACTCAGCACTACCATTGAAGCTACACAAATACACACACATACGCGCTATGCTCACACATTTGCACTGTTCCCAATACCTTAAGGGTAATTTTGGATTTATTCAAGCACATTAAAAACTTTTATTAAACGCTTTTTTCTTTTTACATGTTTATTTTAACATGATAGCACGGTGGCATAGTGAATAGCACAGGGGCCTCACAACAAGAGGGTCCTGGGTTCTGGCCTTTCTGTGTGGAGTTTTTTTCGGGTGTTCCGGTTTCCCCCACCATTAAAAACATGTTAAGTAGTTTCTCCAGTCAGTGCCGTTTGACCTGGCATGGCATTTCAATCTGGAGTTGTTACCCGGGCGCTGTACAGTGGCTGCCCACTTCTCCCGTCAGGGATGAGTTAAATGCAGATGAATTTCGCTATGTGTATGTGACAAAGTACGTTTACGTTTGCAGCATTATATGTTGATATTGTATATATTGTATATATATTGTAATAGGCAGTATATTAACTTATTGGGAGAAAACTGGTAGTTCTATGTAAAATCAGATGTTAAGCACCCCCGAATCAGCAAAATGGCATGATCCTCGCAATTTAAATATACGAAGACAAGAAGACCAGCAAGAAATTTTTGGAAAAAGGCAAAAAAGGTAAAAAATGAGGTTTACTTCTCTGTACTGTATTAGTACATACATTAAAGAGAGGAGCAGCATTTCTGATTATCTCAGTAACTACACATCTAACTGTGTGCTTTTTCAGTTTGCAAACCTATTACATGCCAAAAAAAATAAATGTAACACCATAAAAGAAAGGCTGCGATGGACTGGCGACCTGTCCAGGGTGTACCCCGCCTTGCGCCCGATGTCAGCTGGGATTGGCTCCAGCCCCCCCGCGACCCTGTACGCAGGATAAGCGGTTGACGATGGATGGATGGACTATAAAAGAAAGGGGAAAAGCCAAAAAGCAATTTGACCTCTTTAACTTACATATCATCATCATATAAATCATATGATTTCATGGTAAGGGTACTATGCCTCCTCCAGCCCTTAAAATTAACACATGCAAGGGGGCTATTCTAAAACATGTCACTGCATATAAATACTTGGGCAACTGGTTGGAAACTTCACTTTCTTTCTCCATCCACATATCAAAGCTGCAATCTAAGGTCAAGGCTAAGCTTCCTTCACCACTTCTGCCAAACTTACTTGAATCTTTTGACAGACTCAAATCTTCTGAGTAAAATCTATATATTAACGTCAGATTTGCTGGGAATATACTGAAGGAATAAGCTTGACACACTAGATGAATAAAACACACTCTAAAATTCAACCATTTTAATAATAATCTGGATCAAGCCACCAAGTTCTTAAAAGAACTCCAGCACAGAGAGAGGAACAAAGAAATATTAACACATAATATCAACACAGCAGTTTGGCAGGTCTGGACGCAGAATGGGCCACATCAGGTCCGGAATCTGCTGAGAGAGAATAACAAACATTAGCACATCGCTCTCAAACACTGGCAGGTTGTTCACCAATCACGAACTGCGAAACAACAGCACGGCTCTGTTGATAAATAAAAAATAAAAGTTACGTTGTGTTTTAACATCACTGCTCTGTAATAACGTTATGCTTTATTAAATGTCACATAATTAACAAAATAGATATATAATGTCTGTCCAGTGAGTTGGAAAGAGTGCAAAAATATTCTACTTAAGTAAAATTACAATTAGCCTACATTGATGAACATAAGTACAAGTAAAATTACTGGTATAAAAATGTACTTGAGTAAAAGTAAAAAGAAGCTTAAAATTTACTCAGAGTAAAAGTTATTTGACTTATTTATACGTATTATACTTATTTAATTCAATTGCAGTCTTTTGATAAGAGAAAAAAGCCATATGGCGCTTTCAGTTTTAGTTTGTTTGACAGATACTTCCAATCAATGGTGAAAAACACTGACATTTAATGTCATAATGAGAAGTTTGAGAATGTTTTTGCTTCATCAACAAACTGTGGAGGAAACAGATTAGACCCTGGCAGGCCGCACTGGACTGGGAAAACAAGAAACGCTGGACTGTATATGAAGTTATATCCCTATTTACATTCAAACAGGTGGTGATTTAATGGGATATCATAATAATAATAATAATAATAATCTTTATTTGTAGAGCACTTTCCAAAAACAAGTTACAAAGTGCTTTAACAAGTGTAAAGACAATAATTCCCAAAAGACAATAATAAAAAAACGATACAAGATAAAAGCATGAAAACATTGAAAAGACTAAAATACACATTTAAGATAAATATAAAAATTAGTAAAATAGAATAAAATAAAAGGGATAAAATAAAGTCAAATAAAATCGAGAAAGGCTCTCCTATAAAAGTATGTTTTAAGAAGGGACTTAAAAGAGTTCACTGACTCAGCCGACTTGATTTCCTCGGGCAGGCTGTTCCAGAGCCTCGGGGCCCTGACAGCAAACGCTCTGTCCCCTTTAGTTTTCAGTCGAGACTCTGGAACAGACAACAGACCTCTGCCCGAGGATCTCAAGGTACGTGCTGGTGCGTATGGGACTAAAAGGTCAGAAATATAACAAGGCGAGAGGCCATGAAGAGCTTTAAAAGTGATCAATAGAATTTTAAAGTCAATTCTAAAACATACTGGGAGCCAGTGTAATGAAGCTAAAATAGAAATAGTAATGTGGTCATATTTCTTTGTTCTGGTTAAAAGCCTGGCAGCTGAGTTCTGGACAGTCTGGAGTCGATCAATAGATTTTTGGGTTAAACAGGTGAAAAAGCTGTTGCAATAATCCAGGCGTGATGAGATGAAGGTGTGTAAAATGGTCTCGGTGAAAAGTTAACATAGATCGAATTTTTGCTATATTTCTAAGTTGATAAAAACATGATTGAACAAGCTTTGTGGTGTGCTGCTCGAAATTTAAATTACTATCAAACCAAACACCAAGGTTCTTTGCCACAGGCTTAATGTGATTTACTAGGGAACCAGCAGATGGTTGGATTTGTTTTGCCATCTGCTGGGACCCAATGACCAGGATTTCTGTTTTGTCTGAGTTCAGCTGGAGGAAATTATTTGACATCCATTTTTTAACTTCACAAAGGCAGTTGTTAAGTGAACTCAGCATTCTAGGGTCTGTGGATCTGAAGGGCAAGTATATTTGTTTGTCATCAGCATAAATATGAAAAGAAATACCATGTTTATGTCCAAGGGGAAGCAGATACAAGGAAAACAAAATGGGTCCTAAGACCGACCCCTGAGGCACACCATATTTAACTGGACAGAACAAAGAGACATAGTTGTTTACAGACACGCAAAATTTCCTATTTGACCGGTAGGATGAAAACCATTCTAGGGCAGTACCAGAGATCCCCACCCAGTGCCTCAGTCTGTCTAACATTATGTTGAGATCAATGGTGTCAAAAGGTCCAGCATTAGTAGAATAAATAACTAGTTACTAGCAAGTTGCTAATCAATATATGATTACTTATTTTAATCCACCAATGGAAGTAGGCTATTATTTAACTGACCTCTGCATCAGGGCTCCTCAAAGTTAAATTTGTTCAAGGGCACAAATCTTTCTAAGCAGACAATGTGGGGGCCGGACAAAAATAATTTCCATTACTGTTGAATATTTTCAAATTTCGCAAAATGAACATTTTTATTAGCTTATATCAGTGTGAACAGACTCCTAAAAACATTTTAGTCCCAAATCCATAATAATAAATCAGAGGCCTAGTTAACTAGAAAATGCTCTCAGACAGCAACCAAGGAGTTAGAAAATCTGTAATTGTAACTCTGACTGGCATTTATTAACCGGTATTATGCAGCTTCCCGTTATTGTGCATGAAACCTGTAGTTACTATGGTAACAGCAGATGCCTTTTAATACCACAGGGTATAGAAGTCTGGGGCAGCTACAAACTATTGTCAGGCAGTTTTTGGTATTTTCCATAACTCTGTGAGCATGAGTCATGATCTGACTTTATGCTGCACACAACATGAATCTGCAAACAGAGTTGGTTACCTGGCCGAGAAGGTGGAGGTGTGCAGCCTGTCGCCTGCAGCTCTTTATCTAACAGCTCACTGCGTCTGCTGCTGACTGTAGCATTACTCACTGCAATATTTCAAACTGGTCTGCTCTCTGAAAATGACAGTTGTCTTGTTGTGTAGATGTATTTTTGATGAATGTCATTTCTGATCTCACTTACAAACAGACTGCATTGATGGAGCTGTTGTTCTCTTGCACTTAAAGCAAAGTGGTTGCGAATTTTGCACTTTTTTTTCCACTCGAATGTGACTGAAAATGTAGGGAAGACTCAAACCTAGCAACCCACAGCTGAGAGTCGTGAACTAATCAATTATTTTTCCTGTGCTGACGGAGCCTATGCAGCTGCGTGTTGCGAGTGAACGTAAGAGTCTAAGACTATTTACGCATGTGTGAAAATGACTTACTCCCTCAGACTACTTGTTCCTCCTGAGTCATATATAAGATTAGATCAAATGAACGAAACGTTCTTTGAACGACACACTATCTGAAACTGAAGGTGTGTGTGCGTCGGTATGTAATGTAGTGAGTGAACCAAAATCTGTTTTGGTGAAGTTACTGAGATAATGACAAGCTATAAATCATATCAGAACAGCCAGCACTCACCTGAGGATGACCAATGATCAATATTCAATTCTGACTCCTGTTGTCAGCTACATGCTTTTATATTATCAGTTCTGCTTCTGCACATTTGTTTGTATGAAGTTTTGAGCTGTTTTTCCATTAACAGTACCAGCTCATCTCGCCTTGGCAGTCCTCTGTTTTCCAGTGCAGATAGTACCCAGAGATAGTACCTCTCAATGTAGCAACATACAACTGCCGTGAAGAGCATAGACTTGGTTCAGGATTCAGCAAGCTAAGCTAATATAATGATGTAAATATACAGAATAGTTCAGCAACATTTCATTGTCATTTTGTACCAGTTTTTGATTTTAAATGTTCCTTTTCATTTCTATCATTTACCATCTTGCATGAAGTTGAGCGAATGATAGGCAAGGTTTAGAAAATGGAACATGGAACTCAAAGACAGAAACAAATTGGAGTGAAACAAGGTTTATTTGGCAGAATACTCAAATGTGCAGGCGGGAAAATCTGTGACACAGGAAAGCAGGCTTAACTGGAATTTATCCAAACTGGCTTAAGCGTAACTGACAAAGAATGAGAGTCTACGATGTTGCGCATATATGGCTGAGCATGATGAGACCGATGGCTGGCAGCTGGAAACCAGCTCCTGCACACCTGACTCTACTTCATGTTGACAACAACAAATTCACTAAAAATAAGAAATCAATAAAGTGAATATTACAAAAACAAAGAAAGCAGTTGTTGAAAAGCAGTTGCATACATTTATTTTGTGTTTTTAAACCAAGATAAGGAGATTAGAAATGGTGACTAAAACAATGCTGAAGCCATTAGAACAAATGATATGGGATTATATGCAGATGTTTCTCTGTCTCTGAGATTTATAGCTTTCTATGTTGTATTAAATTATAATTGCAGCTTTATAGTATTGTTTATTATCACAAACATTTCTCATATTATCATTACAGATGTTGGAATGCTTGAACTGGGAAACGTTTCCTATTTGTAAATAATGGCATAACTTGGAGTGCATTATCAAGAGCGGACAGTGATGTTAGGTGGTGCCCCAACATTTAATGAGTTCACATGAAATTAACATGTCCTAGTATTAATATTCATACTTTTAGAAACTATGTGTAGGTTCACTACACATATAAGGAATTTATATTGGTGACTTGGTGCATGATAATGAACCAAATTATAATTGACAGTAATACAGAACATGTGCAAGAAGAAGAGGGTGGCACGAGAGTCAGTTTCAGTGGGAGTCCTGGGCCTTGTTGATAAGGCCGGCTGCGGATGGGAAGATCCTGTTATTGTGGGGAGTGTCTAAAACATTTCGTGTCCAGGATGGGAGAGGGCGGCCACAATCTTTGCTATTGTTATTGTGGCTGGGCTCTTCCTGAAATCACAATAATCTAAACTGTCCTAAGAGTGGGAAACAGTAATGATGAAAAGGGATTTATCAACGATCTTGGCTGCACAACGTTTTCACAGGTAAACATATAACTAGGGGATAGACTCAAATACCTATCCTTACCAGTGCATTATAGAATGTCCTTTGAATTACGGAAAGGAGACTCTGCAGGCACAGTTCGGATCTTTAGGACTTAAAAGATTGGGGTATGTTGTTCAGATTTTGTTGATTTGCAAATATGTCCTGATTTTTTCTGCCATGTTCTACCATGGTTAAGTAGGCAACATAGTTAAATGGTTTATTTTCTTTCTTTCAGTTTTAATTGTGGTAATTGTCTAAACTGTATACGGCCTGGAGTCTGCACAGGTCGTTTTATTTCGAGTTGAAAGCAGCTTCGGGGACTCGCTGCGGCACATCTAGTGGAAGCACAAACATTGACCAGAACGCAACATTTTCCAAAAACAATCAAATTTCTCAGCTTCAGCATTTGATAAGTTGTCTTTGTGCTATTCACAATTAAACATGGTGTTTCGATGTTTTACACATCATCACATTTGGTTTTAATTTTTGCCCAGGAAACGGAGTTGTAAAAGGCATATTAAGTTGTCTGGGCAGAAGATGTCGACATAATTCAGTCCCTCCAGCATTTCGTGGGACTTTTTTGTGATAAATAAAAAAAAATTTTTTTGTTAAAATGCCCAATTTCGGGGCATTTCTCAAAGCTTTTCTAAAAACACTGCAATGAAAGATGTTTTGGGCGTGTTTTTTGAAATGAAAATTCAGTAACAAGTGAAAACTGCAAAGGTGAATGTGATATTTTTAACTTTAGATCATAAAACAATCTCTCCAGGATGTTGTGGGTCAAACTCTAAACATGCATATTGAAAACAACTAACTTTTATTCTTTCAGCGCTTGCACGCTGACGGGGATCCAACAGCCTGCGTCAGAGTGTCGCGCTTTGTGCATCTGTGCCACTCTCCACATATGTTTTGTGGTGGCAAAGTGTTTGTCAAAAGACAATTTCCTTTATTTTCCTACACAACACTGCACATTTTGCACAGTTTACCACCGTTTTTGGTAAAGAAGATCTGGATGATGTTTTTCATGATCCTTTTTGTCGGCAAATATGAGACGTTGGAATCAGACCAGTAACCTTACCTTATTAAAAGAAATTTAATGACTGGCTCATAGCACGATGTGATGACTGTTGTTGTAAATTTGCGCTATATACAAAAAGCTGAATTAAGTGTCTTAATAAATGTAGAATAAACAACAAAACATTACATTTTAAATGCAGTAGCCTACTTTAACTTGTAACAGAGTACTTGAAAACTGTGGTGGCAGTACTTTTACTTAAGTAAAGATTCTGTATACTTCTTCCACCACTGCCTATTAAGCAGTCACATGCAAAAACTCCACTGTGCACAACTTAAACTTATTAGTTTTGTATTTTAAACAAATTCTCTCTTTTACCTGCAATGATATTTGTTAATCAATATCTTTTAATTTGGTCCAGAGAAAGATTTAGGGTTTGGGAGAAGCCTTTTTCTATTTTTCACAATATTACTACAGTAGATTAGTCAAATATTTAAAGGATAAGTTACTATATGACTATCAATATGGTCCAGTTAACTGACATAGTAATTACAGCTTTAGACAACAGCTTTAGACAACACCTGAAGGGGCTGTTTTGAAACAGGTTTTTATCCTGCATGCCCGTGTGACAGATGCCTTCTCTAGCTAATGAGGGCGTGATCTTATACAACTTCATCTTGCCAATGAGAGTGGCAGCCCGGAGAACTTTACCTTTTTATGGACAGCAGCACTCCCACAAACACAAATAAAAGCAGTGCAGTTTGGCTCCTAAAGCTGCATTCACCAAGCACATCTCAGGTAGAGAAACACCTGCAAGACATCGCCTGACACCTGCACAGGTGAGCCAGCTGTTAGTTAGCTATTAGTTGACAGTCTATTAATTGTTTTATCTGAAATATTTCACAAAGCAAAATGTTACAGTTGAGTATTGGTAAAGGACAGAGGTTTACTGAGGTTTACTGGGTTGACTTAACACTTTATCACTTCATGTGTGTGACAGGCAGGTGACGACAGGATGATTGAGCTTTTTTTGCTTTAGAAATGCATAAAACATTTTCTTCAGCCCTTTGAAATTTAGGGAAAGGGTCAAACTAGATGCACAAAACAGCATAATGTCCTCTTAAGTATTTATGGTTAGTTTTTGGTTTTAATGCAAAGGTTGAACATCCTGAAAGAGGCTAGAATTTTTCCAAGCCTCTAATAAGTTGTTCGCACACAAACGGGTGGTTGCAGTCTGAGAAAACTGACAAAATCTCTGTAAATGTGAAAATGTTAACTCAAACATTTCCCAACAGCTCAACATGCAGTTTAAAATTATAATAAAATGAAATTTCCTTTTCAAGTTAGAAACAAGAGTGAAATTAATCTGTTATGTGAACAGGGAGTAGAAGTAGAGATCTACTCTGATCAACACATTCTCACTTCCAACTTATGTCACATATGGACATGTGCTCCATGTGGTGTCACTTTTTAACTTGCAGCAGCAAATCTTCTTGGTTATGTTTAGGAACAGAAATCATGGTTCTTACAGTAACGATACTTGCATAGGATGAAAGTCCAGTTTCTGGCCCACCATCCACCTCAACTAAAAAATCTAGACAGATTGTCTAACACATGAAACACTAGAATAAGAATCCTAATCCATTTTCAGTTCACTTGTTCAGTTGGGCTTGTTGATTGTTTTTTTTCTTTTTTGTTTGCTGGTCCACTGACTGAACAATATAATGTTCTGAGGGAGGAGCTGCTCCATTCTCCATCAAACTCTTCCTGTTTCTGACGTCTTGTCCTGTCTCGTTTTGTTTGGCCTGAACTTAGTTGAAATATCCTGACACGATGGGACAAACAGTAAAGTTGATCAGGTGGAACGATTAAAGTGACATGACCGACAAACCACATTCCAGTGTGTGCTGCAGGGAGGGAAACACATTAAAATATGTGTACAAAGTAAGAATAGTTTCAGTTTTGTCTCAGAGGGAAATGAACATCCAACAGAAACCACAGAATAGAAACATACATCCTCACATTAAACTCATCAGAGAGCTTCAGTGCTCACAAGTTTTTGCAACAAGACAGCATTAATATGAAGGTGATCATACTAAAACGTGTTTCATCACTTTAAAGGAAGTATTTAAAAATATTAATGATGAGCTGGGATGTTATATTACACACCATCACCTCTATTTCTGACACATTTTCATAAAACCGTTAAAATGTCAGTTTTAAATATCCTTATTTTTATTGTGCTTAAATCAGGTATGCTTTTACATAAAAAAAAAAAAAAAATGAAATATTGAGCAACCCGTTAAAATTCTAAATTCTAAATGAGTGGTCGGCAATAATATCTGGACCGTGGCCAGATTACTTAGCTAGATTAATAGCTGCAAAAAAGGCAAACAATAAAGCCGCTGCTGCTAAAATAGATCTCAGTCATGACAGCAAAAGTTACTCATATAATCACTTCCTCTTAAGTGATTGTGCCTACAAAATAAAATACCGAGAACATCTTTGCAGGATTATTTTATGTTGTGTTTAATTGAGAGCTGAGAAACTCCCTAGGTTGATGTGGACCAATCACCGGGAGGTGATCTCTTCATAAAATGTCTTCGAAAAAATGATCTCTTTGTAATCAATTTGTTGAAAAGAGAGAAAAATAACACAAGCAGTAAGTGGTTATTGAACACACAAACTCAAACGAGAGTCCAGTGCACGACTGACTGAGCTAAACAGGCACACCGTACATGACAGATTATAACTGATAAATGGACTTTATCCTGGCCTGCCATCTGATGACTTCAAAAAAAAATTGGCCCGATGCCAGACTTATTTGCTGATCTAAATTCTATTCAATTCTAACATATTGTTGACAAACTGCTTAGAGAACAGGGTAAACAAAGAACAAATAAAGACAGGACAATGTTAAATAGCTGTTAGCAATAGCATTAATGACAGCAACAACATGAATAGCAATAACTAGCAGCTTAAACAAAGTAGTAGCTACTACAATGAACAAGAGATAAAACAATGGGTGGAGTGTTTAAGGAGAGCGTAGCTGTTTAGGGTTTTTTATGGGAAGAGAAATAAACACCATGTTGCTCATTAATCTACATGTTTCCTTTAGGAAATGGAAGACGAGATTCCTGCCCTTGTTTTTGACAACGGCTCCGGCCTGTGCAGGGCCGGCTTTGCTGGAGATGACGCCCCCCGCGCCGTCTTCCCATCAATGGTTGGCTGCCTCAGACACAAGGTACAGACACCAGCATGGACGTCACCTGCGTCTCATGACTTTAAAATCCAGAGTCGAACTTGTACCCACAAAAAAAAGTTGCAGCCAACTGCTGTGTTTCATAATGATACTGAAGGGTTACTTTTGCATCAAATACAGATGCTTTGTCATGCTGTCTGAAAGTGTCGATAATTGATGCACCCAGATGAGAATGTGTTGGAGCTGATGGGTAGTAAGTAAGGAAAATTTATTTAATACAGCACCAAACATTTTTTTTTTAAATCAGACAGTCATATATAAGCATCAAACAATAAAAGGCATCAAACAATATAATCAATTTATTTGTGTATGTTAACACGTGCATAAATAATCAATATTAAGCATTTTGTATTTTAAAGAGAACATGACTATTCACAGTTAAAAGTTTACAGGGAGACAAAGGCTTGTTTAAATAAAAAAGTCTTCAGCTGATTTTTGATTGCTTCGAATGAGACCTTAGAGCGTAGGTCTGACGGAAGAGTATTCCACAGTGTTGGTGCCACTTGGAAAGCACGGTCACCTCTAGTTTTTAGACATGTATGCGGTACAACTAGTATGCCTTGGTCTGAAGATCTTAAAGGCCTAGTGGTAATATACGGGTGCAGCATGATTGAGATATACCCGGGTGCCTGATCATGCAGCGCTCTGTTTGTTAAAACAAGCACTTTTAATTGAATCCTAAATTTAACAGGGAGCCAATGTAAAGAGGACAGAGTGGGAGTTATATGAGTTCTCCTGCTGGACCTCAACAGCCTTACAGCAGCATTTTGGAACATTTGTAAATGGTCGAGGGAAGACTTGCTAAGATGTAAAGAGGGATGTAAAAAGGGAGTTGCAATAATCTAAACGGGAGGAAATAAAAGCATGGATTATTATCTAAAATTCTGTTTTTTGACAACAGATTTGAGCTTGGCAATGTTTCTTAAATGAAAGAAACACAACCTGGTCAGACTTTTAACATGTCGATCAAAGTGCATTGATGTGTCAAAAGTTACACCCAGATTTCTAAGATTTGATTTTACTGATGATGAAAGTGATCCAATATGCTGAGCGATCGAGGGAGCTATGCTATCGGGTGCAACAATAAGGACCTCAGTCTGTATTCAGTTCTAAGAAGTTTTTAGCCATCCAGCTTTTAATGGCAGTGAATCAGTTTGTCATACTCATCTGACCCAAAAGAGACATATAGCTGGGTAGTTGCGTGTAGGTGAGCAGTAAACAGAAGAAAATATACATCTGGGACACAGTACAAAAAAAGGACACTCAGGTGAGTCCTGAACCATCCCTTAGTTATGCTGCTATAGGCCTAGACTGCCGGGGGATTTCCCATGATGCACTGAGCTCCTCTCTCCTCTACTTTCTCTCCCTCTGTATGCAACCTTATTCCATTATTGCATGTTACTAACTCGACTTCTGCCCTTTCTGGTAGTCTTGTGCTTTCTCGTCTCTCTCCTCTCTCCTCCTATCACTTCCTGCAGGTTTTCTGGCTCTGGAGCTGTGGAGTCTGGATCTGTGGCTGCGGGTCACCTGCTGCCCCCGTGTTCCTGCTCGACACCCTCTGGTGCAACGACTATTGTTGCTAGTCTTATTGTTATTATTGTTATTATAATCATTAACATTACGACTGTTATCATTAACACTACTATAAATATCTGTACCATTTTTCATTTAGTCTATAGCAACATCACCTTTACTGTCTGTACCTCTGTGTGTATATTATGTAGGCTGCCTCCCTCCCCTCTCTCTCTCCTTCCATCCCTCTCTCTCTCTCCCTCTCTCTCTCTCTCTCTCTCTCTCTCTCTCCCTCTCTCTCCTTCCATCCCTCTCTTTTTCTCTGTTTCTCTCCTGCTCTCTCTCCCTCTCTCTCTCTCCCTCTCTCTCTCTCTCTCTCCTTCACCCCAACCGGTCGAGGCAGATGGCCGCCCACCCTGAGTCATGGTTCTGCTCGAGGTTTCTGCCTCTTAAAAGGAAGTTTTTCCTTGCCTCTGTCGCCTAGTGCTGCTCTTGGTGGGAACTGTTGGGTTTCTTTAAATATCATCATAGAGTACGGTCTAGACCTGCTCTTTTATGAAAAGCGCTCTGAGTTAACTGTTGTTGTGATTTGGCCCTATATAAATAAAATTGAATTGAAAATGTATGTAGGCTTACTCCGGACTCACACAGACAGTGTGTGCCAGTAACAAACTGTCCATGTCTGTCAGATAGTCTGAAGGGGACACTTGCAAATCAGCAGAGCTATAACACAGGCTAATGCACAGCAGAGGAGCAGGCAGATTTTGTTAAAATATTATGACTTTATTGTCATCGGGTTGAAACTTTGTTTCCCAATATGTCAGAGGACACAGATATGTGGGAGAGATTCTAACTGTGCAGAAAGTTTTGAACACGAGCAGAAAACCTGCTGAAACAAAGAGCTCTTAAAGTGTTTAATAAATAAAATGTAACTTACTGACTTTTGTGGGTGATCAAAGTGCTTGGGGGGTGGGGGGGTCTGATAAAATGATAATGTCTGATAAAATCTGACACACAGATAATGCAGTGTGTAGCATGTGATTGTAAAGCTGGATGCAGGAGTTGTGCAGGAGAACCACTACGTGGGAGACAATGCTCAGAGCATGAGAAGTATCCTGAACCTGACGTACCCCATCAAGCACGGCATAGTCACCAACTGGGATGACATGGAGAAGGTGAAGATACTTACTTAGTTTTAACACCTGGATTCGACCAGAAAACAGCCTGAGAGCTATAATTGCATTATCATTTATTTGTTAGATGTATTAATCAAACTCTCAGTAGTTGTAGTGGAGTGTAGTCTAGCATTTAATGGAAATACTCAAGTAAAAGTACAAGTACCTCGAAATTGTACTCATAATGTCCCTTTCACCACTGAAAAAATCAAAATATTAAAAGCTGGAAAAATCTTGACACCAACCACTTTTGTCCTGCATGTATTTTTTCTTCTTTAGCTTTAAAGTTACTATGATTAGTCGTTGAACTAACAGCTGTTCTGTACTGCAGATATGGCATCACACCTACAATGAGCTCTGTGTTGCTCCTGAGGAGCATCCAGTCCTGCTGACCGACGCTCCACTAAACCCCAAGGATAACAGGGAGATGATGGCACAGGTGTGTGTTTGTAACAAAGTCGCAAAATCTATGGGTTTATTTTTACCATCATCTCTCTCTGACTTTATGGATCTGAAGGAAAAACATCAAGTCACCAATGCATACTGCCCACATGCAGCTTTAACTCCTTAGATTCTCTAGACTGAGACATTAACAGCTGGACATTTTTACTAAATATATGCTTACTTCTAGGTCAGAATTCTAACTTGTAATTAGGGCTGACCCCGAATAGTCGAAGATTCGATGCTTCGATGGGCGGCGCCTGATTCGACTGTCAATCTCACAGCCGAAGCTTCTCAGTGAAACAAGGATCATGTCACTTTGGCAATATGGGGGGGCTCAACGCCTGATTTTAAACAGCACATTTAATGCTGGATCATTAGTGCACATGCAGAGACGTAGCATGTATGTGTTTAATGGCAGAAGAGGAATACTTGCTGAAGAAATCGAGCCCCAGCTTCTCTGGTGTTGTGCCGAGTTGTCCACACTTTGCGGGACTTTTGGATAATTTATCACTGTTGAACCACACAAAGAATATTATATTGTTTTTAACCCCTTGATGCCGAGTGTCACAAATACGCATCAAACCTCTTTCTTTCAGATTGCAGCCAAGATACTGCATGTATTCCCCCGATGCCTGTTGGTGCATATTCCATACATACCTAGGAACCTTTTGTAAGCCCTGGTGTCTCGTTTATGCCTATTGTTGCTAATTTGCATCATACCTACATCATACCTGAATTTGTATCTTTTCTATGTTCTATAGACAAATAAACAATCTTCACTTAATTTAACATCAGCTTGAAAGCAAATTCAAACACAAATTATTTAAAAAAAAATTTTATAGTAAAAAAATTCAGGCGTCAAGGGGTTAAACAGCCGGCTACTTGAAATAGACCCGCGAGGAACCATAAAGTGCATGCAATTGTCTCAAGCACGGCATGCACGCAAAACTCTGCACAGAACTGTTGAATGAGAGAGAGAGAGAGAGAGAGAGAGAAACAACCAAAACACAAAGTAAATTCCAATGTCACCTGACCCCAAGAAGAGAATTCACACTAAATTACCTGAGCACAATAAAATGTAAAACTAAGAACTAAACTAAGAAAAATGATGACAACCTACAGACTGAGTGAACACGGCCTGGCTATAGAAAAGGGTCGCCACAGACAGAGCTGGCTACCACAAGAGGAGAGACTCTGCTCCCAGTGTGGCAGGGGACATGTAGAGACAGAGCTGCACTTTCTAACCTCATGCCCTAAATATAAAACCAAAACACTTTGCAAACATATCCCAGATATATCCAGAATTCAAATTTATATCAGACACACAGAATCTCCCCTGTTTATGCCCAAATATGAAATAATTGCTGCAAAATATATCTCCTCATGCCATTAACTGAGGACAACCAATAGGAACTTAGACTAATAAATGATTGTTTGATATTTAGTAACTGTTGTGTTTTTAAATCTCACATTTGATACTGTAGTTTTTTATGAACTAATTAATTATTTTTAGTGTTTTTTTGCCTATTAATATATACATACACATTTACGGATTTATCTATTTATTTTATTAAAATTTTTTAATATTATTATAATAAGACACGTTACTGTGTCATTGACTTTACTTTAATTTTACATTCTTTTTAACACACACACACACACACGCCTACTGTATTTTAATTTAATTATTTTCATTTTCTAACATACTAACACACACACGCTTATTGTTTTACTTATTTACTTTTTTAAATATTTATTTTTACAGAATTTACAGCACTCTCATACCTCTCCTCTTTCCTCCTATTGCCTTCTGCAGGTATTTCTGGCGCTGGAGTTGTGGAGTCTGGTTCCTGCTTCTAACATGTTACTGCTTAGCACCCATTGCTAACAATTGTTATCACTAGTCCTACTGTTGTTTTTATTATTGTTCTCATTATTATCATTAACATTACTGTAATTATCAGCACCACATTTCAGTCTGTACTGCTATTACCTTACAGTCTGTATTTCTGTGTGGATATTGTGTTTGCTGCACTCCTTTCCTGTGTTCGTACTCATGGTTGTAATTTTTGGGTCTCTGTAAATAATATTACAAAGAGTATGTTCTAGTCCTGCTCTATATAAAAAGCACAATTAGACGGCAGTTGCTGTGAACTGGTGCTATATAAATGAAATTGAATTGAGTTGAATCTTCCTCTTTGGTTCAGATTATGTTCGAGAAATTCAAGTGTCCTGCCATGTATGTTGCCTCCCAGGCAGTCCTGTCACTGTTCTTCTCTGGTAGAACCACAGGTGAGAAGTCAAATACAACCATAAACATCTCTCTGAGCTCTAATGTCTTAAAAATATTGAATTCGTCACAAATTGGCTCCTTGCTTAAAAGCAGCTTAGCAAATTTCAGTGACGGCCTTGATGTTGAACCATGATCAGAATAACCACAGAAAGTGTTTTTTCCTTTTTTTCATTGTGAGCTTTTTGTCTTGCAGGTATTGTGATGGGCTCTGGTGAGGGTGTCAGCTACACTGTGCCCATCTACGAGGGTTACGCTCTGCGTCACAACAGTCTCCGTCTGGACCTGGCTGGCAGAGATCAGACTGACTGTCTGAAACAAAGTCTCACAGAGAGAGGCTACAGCTTCACCAGCACTGGTATGAGTTTGACCTACAACAAATAGCATAGGCTAGCATTTATAATCTGGAGCTTCTAATTCCTTTTAAAACAAGTGTAACTTTGTGAGAGATAAACTCCTGAATGGCTGCAGGCTTTTCCACTTTCTGAATATTTAACTTTAGTGTCCTTTAACTCTCTAATTTCAGCTGAGCGTGAGATTGTGCGTGACATTAAGGAGAAGCTCTGCTACGTGGCTCTGGACTTCGAGAAGGAGATGCAGAAGCCATCTTCCACCCTGGAGAAGAGTTACGAGCTTCCTGATGGACAGGTCATCACCATCGGCAGCGAGAGGTTCAGCTGCCCCGAGACTCTCTTCCAGCCTTCATTAGTCGGTGGGTAACAAGGCCAGTAATGCAGGCCGTATCACTAAAGCAAATTATTTAAACAGACACTGGCAAGTGCTTTTAATAGATCTTGTACAGATTTTAAGTCAGTAACTATTGGCCATTAGACAGTTAGCATAAATATATTTTATGCTTCAGAGCCGCTTGTGGTCTTGTGTGCTAGAAATTAAAATCACAGTAAACTTGTAGGAAAACACAGTAAACACAGTAGGAAAAGTATGGAATTTGATATCAGTCTGGATAAATGAGTGGAAAAAGAACAGTAGGGTATGGAAACACATCTGTGTTTACAGAATGTTATCCCCACTTTGTTTTCAAATATATAAAATCCAGAATTTAAAAAAATAAAATAACTAAAAATATCTGAATCTTAACATTTATGAGCTATGCAGCGATGTTTTTATCAGAAAAATCTGTTCTGTGTAAGGAAACCACAACTTGACCACTGGCAACGTTCACCATCGGTTCCATGGATACTCTGAATAAACAAGTGAAAATTTAAATATTTAACAAATATTGGGGGGAAAAAATATAATATTATTTATTCTATATGTTAAGGTAAAATAGTAGAGTACAGGTAGCAGCAGTTAGTTTACTTCCTCTATGGGCAGAGATGTTTGAAAGTGGAATGTCGTCCAACCGTCTGCATAGGACTGAGGAATGATCCCGCAGTGGTTTAGTGTTAATTCATTTGAATGAGCTGCAATAAGTCGCAGCATTCACTGTCAGACTGTAAAATACCTGTTGTATTTTAAATCCATTTATTTACAAAATAAACATCTAGCTATTTGTTCTTAGATTTCAAAATGATCTGAAAAATCTACAGAGAATAAATTTGAGTTAAAAAAAAAGGCATTTTGAAATGCAAAAGACATAAGAACCCTGAAATTGACTCTTGTTCCATCCGCATGTTTCAGGAATGGATGGAATGGCTGGCATCCACGAGATGACCCACAACAGCCTCATGAAGTGCGTAGAGGACATCCATAAGGACCTGTACGCACAGGCTGTGCTGTCCGGCGGCACCACCCTCTGCCCTGGCTTCGCTGACCGCATCCAGAAGGAGATCACTGCTCTGGCCCCACTCAACATGGAAATCAAGGTACAGCTGTAATTGCAGATCAGTGAAGTACTAACTGAATCAGACACTAACTTAAATCTCTTCTATATGAATTTTTTTGTAACTAAAAGTGTGTCTTGAATTAAAGATGGAGCATGAATTTGGGATTGAAATGATCATATTTCCTGATCTTGTGTTTTCGGTTTCCTGATCTTAAAGAATCTAAATCATAATAAAACCTGTCTAATATTATTGAATGGAATCTCCATTGGGGCTGCAGCTAACAATTATTTTATTGATCTAGTATTGTACAGATTATTTTATCAATTCCTTGATTAATCGCATAAGAGTATGTTGCTTGTTGCCCCCCAGTGCTGGGATCAATTGTGTAAACATGGTTCGAATTACAGGGGTGACTGGTGGGATCTGATCCCCCTAATTAAGGCTTGGACCCCCCCAAAAGAGGCAAAAACAACAGTCTTTCTTACCTGTAATTCTTAATATTACAATATATTTCCTATATTCATGCCTTACAGTCTAGAATCTTGAAAAAAGATTTCAAATGGACCATACCATTTCCCAATCTTTACATTAGCAGCTGCTCCAGTCCAGTCCACTATACGCTGGTGGAGACACTGTAAGGGCGTACTCATACTAGAGCTGGTTGCCTTTTACCATGCTCAAGCACGATTGTCCCCTCTCCCTTCTCCTCCACTGACCTGAGATCACACAATTATTCACATGTTTACATCATCCCCCAGTCAGTGTTTCCCATGCAATGATTTGTTTGTTGCAGCCCACCACAGTATCAACGCTGACCACCACGTATTGATATGGGATTTTTTACCAGGCTTATTTTTTATTAAAATTAAAATTGCAGGTGATTGCAGAGTGCTGCGCTTATCTTCGCGTAGCACCTTGACTGTCTGTCTCTCTCTCTCTCTCTCTCTCTCTCTCATGAACACCGCTGCACAAATCTGTCTAACACAACTGTCAGCGTTGGAGACCCACATTACAAAAGGTTAAATTGGCAAGCATGTAAGGAGCCTAACTAATAAGGAGAGCTATGTTAAAAAGTGCTCTCTCCCTCACCGCACAGTGGATTTTGTGTCGCGGTTGTGTGCTTTGGTATGGTTAGTGATCAAACTAGATGCGTACCGTACCGGAGTCCAGCCTAACCGTGCGTCAGCAAACCTCTTCAAGTGGTGTACCGTGCCTGGACACGGCACGGAGCAATCACACTGGTCAAAAAAAAACAACTTTGGAGGTTAAACCTGTCCGACACAGTACAGATCATCTAGTGTGAGTACGCCCTATGTCAGTAGTTAGCTATCTAGCTTCTCTAAAACACTTAACTTTCCTACCTTCAGAGTTTCGTGACTAGCATTCCTTTTACTTACAATGAGCCATCTGATGTTAGCTAGCCCATTATGTAATTTCATTACCACTATATCTTGAAACTTACAACTTGAAATGATAAGAATTAGGAATTAGAGATGATAATGCAGTATTTTATGATGGTGTCTTTGGTTCTAGTTCAGCACTGTGTGGGTCGGTGTTTGATTGCTTTGATGGTCTCCTGTTTGTGTTGTGTTTTGCTCTAGAATACTTGACCTCTGACTACAAACTTGTCGTGTGGTATGGGGCATACATGAACTGGTGTAATGGATTTAATTTTCATTTACAGACTGAAGATATTAGTTAAATAAGCGAGGATATTGTAGGCATTGTAAGATTTTAGTTCACTTTCACACGTACCTGTGCTGTACTGGGTTTTCTTTTTGACCTGAAAAAAAAGTTGACCGCCCCGGTTGTCATTGTATAATTGGCACCCTGCATGTAACTCATATCACTGTTAAATTACAACCCAACCTCAACAGTCTAACCAGTTGGAGAACAACAACCAACACATGTTTCTACATTTACAGCTAAGATTTGTGCTTTTCCTTTACTAGCCTTCATTTAAACAATCATAAAATAAAGTTAAATGCTAATATTACCAGTAAGGTACCTTATTTAGGGTTCACCCCGTGAACTTGATTCTTAGACTGGGTGCTTTCTGCTCTGATGCTGTAGCATTTGCTGTTGTGCTGTTGTTGTGGGCTAGTTCCATTTTACGGTAGACACAATGTACCGGGTTGTTGTTTTCCTTTAGCTTGAAATGATCCCTTTGAACACTTCTCTTCATCCCTTGCTATTTTCTCTGTCTTCCTCCACTTTTTAATCCACACCATCATATCACGTCATATTAACTTGCCCACAGTGTTAGTGCGTTGTGTGACAGTAATAATTATCTGTACAAAACAATGTGCTGTATTGTTATATACATTAAAGAAATCATCAACGCAAAGAATTTGCTTTTTAGTTTTCAAATTAATTGATTTTCTCGATGAATCGTTTCAGCCCTAATCTCCATAAAAAAGTCCAAACTATCCAACTACAGAAACATTAATTTAGGGCTTTTGTTGTTCATATTGATCATCACCTCTTTCTGTCTCACCTGTTTTCTTTCCTCACCTCCAGATCATCGCTCCCCCTGAGAGGAAGTACTCCGTCTGGATCGGCGGCTCCATCCTGGGCTCCCTCTCCACTTTCCAGCAGATGTGGATCAGCAAGCAGGAGTACGATGAGTCCGGCCCCTCCATCGTCCACCGCAAGTGTCTTTAGAAAGCCAGCATGACGGTATGATCTGCATGAAAGCAAATAATTATGGCCTTTATAGGAGTTTCCACATCTCATTTCATTTTGACCTAAACACTAAAGTCTCTTCAGTCTTCTGGCTGCTAGTTTATTTGTAAAATAAAATGATGTGCTCATTAGGGATGTCTGGACAGATACTACAATATCAATATTTTTGAAACCAACGTTTCCTGCTCTAGGACTGATTCTCACTTAAAAGGATCAAATTTAAACTGAGTCATTTGGAGTGAGTGAGTGTTTTATCAGAAGTATCTTACTATCAACAGGATGGTCTAATTATTGAATCTATGATTGTATACTGACTCTGGCTGACCGTAAAAGAGGTCACGTCTGGCTGTATTTTAGCTGTGAAGGTAATAATGTTGCTCTGTGTGATGTGTGTGTAAAGACAGTGAAACACTTTGGCAATACTGTGAACTTCGCTAAACATCTGAGATTAAGTCAAAATAATATGATGTTATAAAGCGGCAGTTCTGAGCAGGATATTTTTATTATAATTAAAGAATGTGACAGGAGTTTGATGCCTTGTCATTATTGCTATTATTTGGAATTGGTAAGCCTACAGCCGACTCTTTATTTTCCACATAAATACAGAAACAGGAGGGGGGAGGTCACATTAAACTAGAAATAAAAAGTGTAAAAAGTATTGGTATTGGTATCAGCAATACCAGCCTGTGTATTACTTGGTATTGGATCATTTAGGAATTAAGTGGTATCGCTAATGCTCATCTGGATCACTTTGTTATTTGTGCAAAGCTTCATTAGAAACAAATCTTTTTCACCCAGTGTTTCATCTCTCCGGCTATGATGAAGCTCTAATTGGTGGATATTTGTCCCTGCAGCCTGAGAAGAAGACTGCAGGAAAGCCTCAGAGCCTGGGAAAAAACACCTTCAACTCCATGTATTTTTGTTTAATCATATGCTCCTAAACGATGCTGGTAGTAAAGGATAATAAAATTATAAATTCCATTAGTGTAATACTGTAATGTGCGTACAATTTATAATTGTATAAGACTAAGCCTAATAACCAGTTCTAATGATCTGGCTAGTGAAAAAATGGTTAACGATTTCAAAGATTAGTAAAAGCTGCAGAATATGCTATTCCAGAAAGATAATTCATGAAGCTATAGTGTCTCTTAAATTTTGTTCACCCCATTTATATCAGTTTCTGTTGACAACATATTAGAAAAATCTTTCAAGGTAATGCAAAAACCACCAACACTACAAACTGTAAACTGTTACTTGAAAAGACTTCCTTAAAGGTAGCAGCTTTTGAAGGGTTCCTGCAGAGAAACTCCCACCCCCCTCCCTGATAAACCCTGATAAAATATCATTATGTTACTCATTATCAAGCTAGCATGTTAATAATGGGGAGGTTAATTCAGTAACGAGCTGGCTAGCGAACTGTTAGCAACAGATAGCTGTGGTAGCATTCGGCAAAGCTAAAAAAACGTTCATACATATTTTTCCGTTACCATCACGTTGTTTCACATGTAAGAGCTTCCACGATGACAGCATTGTTGTCTCTGATGAGGACTGCACTACAGAGCCATGCACAGACCTGGGACCGGACCAGGGTCGAGGTGAAGCAGAGGAGGGAGGGCTGCCAGGGTTAGAGGTAAATTATTTTATTAAATTGGTGCAGAAAAAATGTTTGAAAAATTGACAGGTGAAAACATGAAATATTTCTTTAAAGAACCTAGAAACATCCCTGGATTTCAGTCAGGATGCTTTCTAATGCTTCTCTTTAAAAACTGAACTTGGCATGGGAATTTGGCCTTCTTAAACTTCGTCAAGAAATATATATATATGTCATTTCTGAGCTTTCTTCACCAGTGTGGGGATGTGAGATGACCATATAAGTTTCTCTGCAATGCTGATTCCCAGGAACATGAAACTGTTCACCTGCTCCTTCTCAGCTCCACTGATGTAGACAGGAGTGTGTGTCTTTATTTCCTACTTCCTGAAATCAATAATCAGCTCCGTGGTTTTGGTGGCGTTGAACAATAGGTCGTTCTCTGTGTACTGCACTTGGTTATCAACCAAACCTGTGAGCTCTGTTCTGTTTCATCACTTGATATTCACATTGTATTAACAACAGTCCACACTGAACTACAGGGAAACACTTTATTCACATTTTAGAAGCACAAACAAAGAAAGCAAAGATCAAATACAGAACATGGGATTAAAGATTCATCGTGATGTCACCAGTTATAAATCGTCCATTTTATCTGACACTCACACGTTTGTTGACTTCTTACTACACTGTATCTACCGTATACTATACACTTTACAGAAAACTACATAAAGGAGGAGATGCATTAGATCTTAACAATTATAGACCCATATCTATTATATGTTCTATTGCCAAAGTGTTTGAAAAATGTATTTATAATCAACTCTCACATTACCTTAGTGCCAACAATATCTTATCACCATTTCAGTCTGGCTTTAGGTCTAACCGCTCTACATCTACCGCCCTTCTTAAATTCATGGTGTGTTCTCTGCTGCAGATAATGGTGAACTTACAGGTGCACTATTTATTGACTAGACTAAAGCTTTTGACTTTGTTGATCACTATTTACTTTTAGATAAACTCCATCCTTTTTGAAAATGCAGTCCTGTGGTTTAGTTCATATCTAATAGAAAGCAATGTGTCATCCCACATGGGAATAAATCTAATTTGTTGATTCAACAGAGAGGTGTGCCCCAGGGCTCAACTTTGGGACCACTTGTTTTTTTTATCTACGTTAATAACTTACCATCAATTTTCAATAACTGTTGTGCTCAACTTTATGCCGATGACACTGTCTTATATACATCTAAACCTGATCTTTCACAAATCCAAGCGTCTTCAGTATGATTTCAAAATCTTACAAGATTGGCATTTTTACAATAAACTATTGTTAACAAAACAAAATAATTTCTTATGATTTTTGGTACCAGACAGAATCTCAAATCCAAACCCGATTATTGTATTATAACTTGTTCTGACTGTACTCTTCTGCTTAAAGTTATAAAAAGTTATTCTTTTTTGACTATTGTGATGAAAAACTTAACAATATGTGCAGATTTGTCCTTAGATGTCCCTTTTTATGCAATGTACGATGCTCTTAAATGACCATCTCTAAACATAAGAAGACAAATTCACTGGCTTCAACTTATATTCAAGTGTATTCATTTCAATTACCCTTCTTATTTACAACAGTATCTTGTTCCTATTACTTCAAATTATCAATTGAGGCACTCTGCTCAACTTTATTTTTCTATCCCTCGAGCTAAAAAATCAGTTGGCAAAAGAGCTTTTATGTTTAAAGCCCCTTTGGATTGGAATAACCTACCTTCTGATATTAGATCCATTGCTTCATTTGGGATGTATAGGCATACCCTTTCTTCTTACCTTGTGATTGACTTCTCATGCAATGAATGATGCTGACACATTGTGTCCTATACTAAAATTAAATTTATTATTATTTTGTGATCCACGTACATACAATTTCATAAGTATTATTGGCCAGTTTGACCATCTAGTGGTTGTAAAGTTCTTTATATTTCTGTAATTAGTATAATTGTAATTATTGTTGTTTTGTTTTGTGTTTTTTTTATTTTCCTGTTGTTGTTCTTGTTGTTGTTGTTGTTGTTGCTCTGTATTGGTGGTTCTGTGTGTGTGTGTATTTGTCTGTTGTCTGTCTGTACACGGACAAATGTATAAATGTCCTTTTAGTTGTTTTTTTTGTCACTGTTCTACTCTTTTCCCTCAAAAACGAGATGGTTTATCCTAATGAGATGGTTTATCCTAATAAATAAATTTGAAGAGAGAAAACGATGAAACAGAGAAGATCAAGTTCAACGCTTCTGATATTGTCTAACCAATGATATATATTGGTCTATCCAAAAGAAGAAAAGTTTATTGTCACTACTGGATTTGATCAGAAAAATATAATATTGAACTGTAACGTGTCCTGCCTTTTAACACACGTTTGTTATAACTCTTAATTACCACCTATGAGGGATGATTATTATGGATTTTCTGGATTTCATATCAGCCTTAAACCCCAATAATTATCTGTGGTCATGTACCTGTTTTATTTTCTCCATCTTATGGTTTTAAACAAATTTTTACAGTCACTTTGACCACATTATTACTAATCAAGTTACTTCTGCAGACACTGAGTACATAAAATATCAACAAAACAAACATACTAGAAGCAAACCTGTATATCCACTGTTTGGTTATTTTCACAAACTAAAGGAGCAAAAAGGCTTCAGTTAAATCCTCCTCCATGTTCTAAAGTCTCTTTTTAGACAGTGTAAAGCATGGTTAGTGCAGTTTCACTAGTTAGATAACTGCTAACATAACCATCAGTACTGTTAATTGTTATGGTCACTCACTGTACGCTAGACAGATTGTAAAGTTTTTGACATTGGCCTGTAGAAATGAAATTAACTTGACTATGCACTCAACAATATCTGTACCAAAAGGGAGAGATTTATATATTTGATCACTTTTTAGCTAAACCTTAATGGATAAAAACCAAAATGCCTTATGAAATGCTACACTTGGGTGGATTGTTGACTTCTTTCAGAAGTTTCTGTATCAAGTCACTTATTTCATTTTCATGTTTTTGATGAATATTTTTCTTTTCCTCCTCATTTTCCAGACTGTTAATTTCTTGCTCGTGTTTCTTCAGTAAGTCACTCAGCTTTTTAGTACTTCCTCTTTTTTGGTGAAACACTTCACTAAGTTGTTGATTTCTCTTTGATGTTTTTTCTTCATTTCTTCTTCACACTCTTTAAACTCCATTGCGCATTTCTCTCCAAATGTATTGAATTCCTCAGCGTTCTTTCTGGCTTCCTCTTCAACTTTCTCCTTTATATGCATCAGGCGTATTTCATAGTTTCTCTCCAGCTCCTTTCTCTCTCTTTCCTCCTGTTCTCTTCTGATTCTGTCCTCTTCTTTTCTGTTCTTTTCATATTCTTCTTTTTGCTGCTCAATTTCTTCTTGAAGCTTTTTAATTATTGTGTGTTCTTCCAGTTGCCTCAGCTCATTTTCCTTATTTCTTTTCTCCCACCACTCTTTTCGTTCTCTTTCCCAAGCCTCTTGTTTTTCTTTCATTTCTTCTCTACTCTGCCTCAGCTTTTTGTCAATGCTTTCCTTTGATTCAAATTCATGTTTAGTTTTTAACTCCAACATTTCAAGCTTTTGTTTCCACTCCTGTCGCTGTGATTCTTCCTGTATTTTCCGACACCTCTCTTCCTCTTCTCTTCTTTCTTGTTCTTTCCTTCTTCTGTCAAGTTCCTTGCTGATGTAGTCCTCGAGTTGTTTATCCCTCAGTTTTCTCTCCTTTTCAATTTCTGCTTTATCTTTTTGAATTCTTCTTTTCACCTCTTGCATTTCTTCCTCATGTTTTCTTTGAAGCTCCTCCCTCTCTCTCTTCATCTCTTCTTCCTTCTCCTTCAGGATTCTCTCCATTTCTTTCTTTATAGCAGCCTCGGCCTCTTGCAGCATCTCATTGGTGTAGCAGCTGCCTCCATTTTCCTTCACCATGGTGTCAATCTTGGTTATCAGCTCACTGACTTGGGTGTAGTTTTCTTCATCATAGTTATCAAACACATAGTATCTTCCTCCACAGTCAGAGATCAGCTTCTTAAAGGAATCGCATCCCTTTTCAATGTATTCCTCAATGGACACTTTCTCACGCTTTAGTTTATCTCCTCCAGTTAAAAGAATGATGGTGAACTTTTCAGCATTCTTCCCAAAGCCTTCCTTGATGAGTTTTAATGTCTCCTTCTCCTCTGGTGTAAATCTGCCAACGTGTAACACCAACAGGAAGACATGTGGTCCTGGAGCCAGAAGACTGATGCATTTCACCATCTCCTCATGAACCTCTTCATGGGTCAAACTATTGTCAAACAGACCAGGAGTGTCGACCACAACGACTGGACGACCGTCCACTTCACTCTGTGCTTTCTGACAAAGTTTGGTGACTGATTTTTGGTACAATTCAGCTTTAAACTCGTCTCTTCCTAGAATGGTGTTTCCTGTAGAGCTCTTTCCACAGCCAGTCTTCCCTATCAGCACAATCTTGAGACTCTCTGGGCTCTGCTCCTCATCATCACCTGTGGAATAAGACGACTTGGAGTTACTAATTTTACAATGTCACAGCACCGGTGGTACAAAAAAATGTTTTCACATATGCATGGTCAAGATCTGTTTGTGTCAGTTTGGAACTCACTTAAAGAGGTGGTATTATGCTCATTTTCAGGTTCATAATCTTATTTAGAGGTTGTACCAGAACAGGTATACATGGTTTCATTTTCAAAAAACACCATATTTGTGTCATGCACATTGCTGCAGTTCCTCTTTTCACCCTGTGTTGAAGCTTCGTTTTAGCTATGGCGTGATACACCTTGTCTCTTAATGATCTTTGTTGGGAGTTGCACATGTGCAGTTCCTAGTTAAGGACTACTAGCCAATCAGCTTCGGTTCAGCTGCATATGTTGCCGAACCAGCTTGGCAACATGGACTGGAGCAAGAGTTTCAGAGTGGTGAGTTATTAATCTGTAACAAAAGTATCTTTCATCCATAGTTTTAACTGAGCTCTGTCTCTACATCACAGTAACAACTTTATGTCCATTAACTGCCTGGAGGGTAGCTAGTGGTAGCTCATTCGGTGGAAGAGTGCATTGTGGAGAAGCATGGTGGCGTAGTGTCTGGTTGTTGTAGGTTAGAATCGGTTCCTGCAGCTAATGCTAACCCTTCTGTCTGTTGTCCACTATACTCTACATATGAGGGTACTTGGACTGAGTCAAAAGATGCACATTCTTAAACTAACTGTCAAACCCTGGCATTGAGCCCTTTTTAATAAGATGAATATGATTCAGGGGCCTCTCCAAATCCGGCCTGGTGTTAAGATGCTAAATAAAACTGTCACAAATAAAGTCAGTTTGAATCAGTTCTGGTCCGTTCCACTTACATGCCTGGCACAGTACTGGAGAAATCTTTTGTTGCAAAGAGAGTTTGGCCCCTTCGTGCCAGTGGTGGACAGTAATTAAGTATATTTACTTAAGTACTGAACTTAAGCTCAAATGAGATGTATTTTTACTTTTCATGCTACTTTCCACTTTTACTCCCCCACATCTCAGAGATATTGTACTTTTTACTTAACTGCATTTCTCTGACAGCTTCAGTAGTTACTTTACATATTACTTTTTACACACAGAAACAGATAAAGTTTATAAAAAATAATGTTTTGTTATAAACTATAATTATAGCTTATAACAATTCATACAAGTACAGCTGAAATGACTAGTTACTTGACAGAAATGTTTTGGCAACTATTCTGATCGTTTAAATCATTTTTCATGCAAAAACATTTCATGGTTTCAGCTTAACAAATGGGAAGATTTGCTGTTTTTTATCTGAATGGTTGTAATAACAATAATGTTTATTAATAATGTTAAAGTTTGGACAGAACAAGCATTGTGAAGGTGTCACTTTGAGCTCTGGGTAACTGTAACCGCAGAATCTTTACAATCCAAACAATCACTGAATTTATGGAGAAAATAATCAGCACTTTTCATATTTTAAATCCATTTTCCTGATGATACTTACATACTTATAACAGAGTACTTTTACAGTGTGGTATTGGTACTTTAACTTAAGTAAAGGATCTAAATACTTCGTCCAACACTGCTCCCGGCAGTGTTGCTTTCCTTGACTGGGTGGACGGTCCCCCCACACTGATTGCTCACAGCTCAGCAGTGGTTTCAGGTCACAAGGTTACTTGGACTAAACTAAAATACTTCAGGAGGTTGCCTTCACATTGAAAATCACTTCCTCTTAAATTAATAAAAGGAGTTTCTCACTACTCACATCATTCCAACTTTCCTAAGATGGTGTTTCTTTCCTCTCCTTTTTTGCTGTTTGCCTGCTCATATGTCTTGATCTTTGGCAACCAATCAAGAAACCCATTGACAAATACATACACTATCTGACAGTAGACGCTCATGACTCTAGCAAGGACATTATGTTTCAACATGGGAAATCCATTAACATACTTACAAGTGATGTTGCTTTTTTTCAGCA